TATTCCAATAAGACTTTTACAAGACGCAGGTTGTACAGATCATATAAAGGAAAATTTTTGACTGAATTTTAATAGTAACTGTACTGCTTTGCTCATTTGTAATAATTGCTTGATTTTTATTTTGTTAACTTTAGATATCATATTTTTTTTTATAGGCTCGCGTTCTTTTAATTATAAACATGGCTTGTTTAAGCAAAATAATACCTCATAAATATAGCCTAGGCTGTACCATTTACTAATAATTTTACTAATTACTCATTTTTTTCTTGATTTGCCCTGCTGAAATTGGGGTGCGTCTTATACACCCGTGCGTCTTATATGTTGTCAAATACGGTAATCGTTTTATCTGATCTTTCTGCTTTCCAGCATTATGGCTGATACTAACAAGCAGGAGAGTGAGCCATTGTAATTTTTCTGGTTACGTTTTCTACAGACATGATTTGGAACGGTTATATTGAATAGTCATGATTTGTTGTTTTTTTTATTGACAATACTTACTAAAACTTATGTTTATATTTGCGAGCAATAACAACATGTTATTAGGTCGAAAACTATTTCCTCCTTTTTTTTATACGCTGCGTCCTTTCAGGGCAGGGTCGGCGGAAGGGTCTCGTGGTCCCCCATCGTCGAATCATGCTACGGGGCCCACCCGAATCTATGATACGGAGACCCCAACTCTATTACATCTCAATTTTCATGTAAAATACAAATTTTATTGTAACCCAATTATAACAGAGAATCGGGTCAGCCCAAGAAAAGAGTTGGATGGAGGTTGTGCTGGAAGATGCGTCCTCTTCTACAATAGGCTGTTGAGAGAAGACCTTCTACTTAGAGTAAGTGGCGCTGACTGTTTGGACTATTTGCCTATGAATGATACTAGGCAGGTATTAGTCAATCGTCAGTGTGGGTCTGGGAGTGAGATAACTATAAAACACTTTTTTTTCTTTTTTTTTTTTTAAGAAATCAGTCAGGAGAGGTGTTCCCGACATGCGGACACCAGACGAGCACACCAACTATGTACAACTAGCAGCATGGCCCGACGTTGCCCGTGCTTGATTCAAAAATCATACGACTCATACAGCAATCGCTATCACTTGACTTAAAATATTTTTGCTCTTTCTACCATTTAAAGGAGTGCTCTTTGCCGTGCTGATGTTGCTACATGCCTTACTTCTTGCCTATCTCACACTGCGAATTTTTTCTAAGCTCTATACTAAACATTAAATCTGTTACGAAAAAAGAACTAAACAAAATGAACACAAAACGATCAGCTTTAAAAAAAAGGACTCGTAACTGGAAAAACCGAATGAAAAAAGAATGTTAACAACAAATACTTTTTCACACCCAACCCAGTTCTGCGGAATTAGAATCAACGTTGAGTTTAAGCAAGCGAATGAGCCAATTGGAGTAAAGTGCCATGCAGATTTAAATTTTTTCCACTTGTGACGAATGCAACTATCTATTTTTTTTTTTTTTGCATGCTAGCATACTAGTTAATATTCGTGTCAGTCAGCTGTTGGCTCTCACGCTGACCAATAGAATCTTCCTGCCTATTCGTGGCAGCCGGCTATAGGCTCTCACTCTGGCCGGTACAAAATGGCCGCAAAGTACATGAAAACTGCCGTAGAAGCATGAAAAAATCGATTATTTCCACTATCGATGGGAGTTGGGAAATGCAAAGTCGGTCTTGTCCCTCCCGCTAACTTGGAGCATGTGCATGTAAATTTTGGTGCAAATGTATATATATATATATATATATATATATATATATATATATATATATATATATTTTTTATAAATAAGTAATTCATCAAGTCTAGAAGAAACTTCAACAAAATGCAGAGAGAACTGAGCGAGGTCAACGAGTAATCTTTACCCCACATTAAATTCGGCCTTGTGACACATCTGACTGCGTGTGGCAGTTGGCCTTCCTGCTAACTTGGAGCATGTGCATGTACATTTTGGTGCAAATCCGTCAAAACTTGCGGCCGAAAATTCCTTACACACACACCCTGCCTTTTATAGATATAGATAATGGATCATATGCAATATAGGTGACCAATTTAAACTAGAAAAAATGAAAATAAATACAATATATCTGAATAAAAATTAAAGACATGTCATCTATTGTGGCAATTCTTAACATCATCTTTTTCTTTTCTTGTTAAAAATGTTGAATAATTTGAAGACATTCAACATTGTGGATAAAAAGATAATGAATTTTATATCGTGATTTTCAAGACTTAGCATGGGCAAAAGAAATTCAGTTTTGAACGCAAAAAAGCCAGAATGACGTCAAAATCTGAGGAAATTCTTCATCATTTGATAGTCAGTCGTACCTAGTTTAATTTACAACGTACAGACACCCCTTCGTTTTCGTTGTTTACTGAAGACATTTGGGTTTAAGATCAAAAGATCAATACGAGACAATAGTTCGGAATTTCAGTTCCTATTCTGATAACACAACTATTGATTCCAGTCTTCATGGGTACGTCTGGTATGTTCGATAATGTCAAATTGGCAGCTGATCTCAAAAATGGTATTCGATCTGTTGTTAACTGGGGCAAGAAAAGGCTTGTTAAGTTTAACACCTCCAAAACGAAACTGCCCTCATTTAATCATTTTGGATAACCTTTCTCCCTTCCATTAGCATGGCTGATGCTAACCTCCAGTCGAGTGACTCATTGCAATTTCTATGGCTACGTTTTCTACTGACATGATTTGGAACTATTATATTGAATCAATTGCTAGATCTGCTGCCAGGAAAGGTTCTTTACTGTGTGGAGCTCGAGAAGTTTTATCAATAGAATCTATCTTACACCTTTATATGCCTGCCATTCGTCCATGAATCAAATATTGTTGTCACATATGGTCTGCTGCTTTTGCTATGTATTTAGAGATCCCTGATAAAATCCATAAATGAATCAGCAATATTATCGGTCCTGACCTGGCCTATCGACTTCACTCACTTTCCCACCACCTGTGCCTATTCTATAAATATTTTCATGGTAGTTGTTCTGATGAGGTTTCCTCTTCTGTAGCTCGACGTTACGAATTTAAGCGCAGTACTAGATTGGCAGCTAGGTCTCATCATTTTAATATTGAAATGGCTAGATGTAACCGCAAGTGTCATGTCAACAGTTTCTTCTCTCGCTCTTCTCTCTTCCGGCTTCTTGCTTTCCAGTCAATTTTGATTGTCACATATTTCAAATAAATCGCCAATGCATATTATTGGTAACTGAATGAATGATCCGTTAGCTTTTTTTTTTTTATTTTTTTTTTTTTTCAGTAAGGTTCACTATATACAAGGCCTGGGGGCCACTCGAGGTAGTGAGTTACGTTAGGAGGCAAGTTGTGGAGATATGAGGGGAAGATAACGGTTAACCCTAGACTTGAACAGGTTAAGATTGTAGTGAGCGGGGAAACATCCTCTTTGGCGTCAATTGCACAGAGCAGGGGTTCGCGGGAAGAAGCCGTTCGAGTGAAACTGACTTCTCACTAATGGAATTCGAAGGGACAATGTGTGGTTTGGCATGCCGAATCCTAGCCGTGGAGGTTAGACCTGGCGGGACCAAGGAATGTAGTAACTCCAAGCACTTATCATGGCAGTACCGATAAATCAGTAAGAGACTTGCCACATCCAACCTGTGAGAGAGAGGTTGGAGTGTGTGAAATAATTCGTCACCCACAAGTGCTTGAAGATGGAGTCTGGGTAGCTCCCGCCCAAGTATGACAACAGTTCTCCATTTTCTGCCTGAATTGGCTCTTATAAAGGTAGAGATACTGACTGTTCCTGTACCCTTAGTGGGTCGTATGTACGACTTCCACTTGAGATCAGGTGCGAGTTTAAGGCACAATAGTCTTTCAAGACACGGGGCTTCCTCAAGGGGGACATCCGATTATCGTGACTGGCGGTAATTCGAGGTCCAGTCAGTGATGATGGATAGTTTGGTTTCAGTTCAGTTATGTGCCATGCGTGATACATAACTTTCAATACATGACTGACGAGGCAGATTATTTCCCACAGTAGGTTGCCATTTCTTTCTGCGGCAGAACACTTGCCATTCAAGGCTATAGAACCCTATCCTGCTATTTAGCCATAGCTGGGGTAGAGCATTCATGCCTTTCCCAAGGGTATTAACACATAAGTGAACGTAATGGATTCGACTGGAATTCGAACTCGGCTCTCTGATTCCGCAATCCGAGCCGATATCCATTACTCCACGAGACTTTAAAAGTAACCCCCAGTTTCTACCCCACTGGGTAGTTTATGTTGGATCGGAAGACAAACTAGTTGTCAATCTCTAACCAACAAGAGTTTTAGCGGTGCGTCCTTAAATAGTCGTATCATCGGCATAGATGTTTACAAATGATCTATGTTCTTAGACAGATCATTTATGTAAATCAAAAAGGGCGTTAATCTGAAGAATGACCGCTTGGGGGGTAGGGACGCTTCCGTTGACTTCTAGGACCCCTGGGGATTGTCCGTTAATAACTACATTCAGGGATCTACCTAAAGATGGAATTATCATTGATAAAGCAATAAACTCGTTGAGCGTCTATGCGATTGGCCAAATGAATTAATGAAATAGAAGCCAAATATCTATAGCGAATCTCTTCAAACGGACTGCGAGAAGATTATACGCGTAAACATCGAAGTTTGAAAGGCTTAATTAACCGATCAATAGACAGTTGTTAATAAACAAGAAGTAAAGCCCTGCATTAATATTTAACAGACAGATAAACATAAAAAAACTAATAATGGAGCAGCAAAGATATTTTACAGGTCGGTAAATTATGATTAATTTGAAACGAATAGTTTGAGATGACTTTTGATTTAGAGGATGAGATGAACAAACACACAATGAATTTCTATATCTTAAGCAATCTTAACCATTTCTTTGCTTTATTATCTAATTTTATTCAGGTACATATATAACGATTAAACGTAGATAGATAGATAGATAGATAGATAGATAGATAGATAGATAGATAGATAATTAAAAAAAAGATAGATAATGATTAACAATAGATAGATAGATAGATAGGCAGACAAATAAATACATAATGATTAAACTGAGATAGATAGATAGATAGATAATGATTAAACTGAGATAGATAGATAGATAGATAGATAGATAATGATTAAACTGAGATAGATAGATGGTGATTATAAAGAGATAGATAATGATTAAAAATAGATAGATAGATAGATAACAATTAAAAAAAAGATAGATAATGATTAACAATAGATAGATAGATAGATAGATAGATAGATAGACAAATAAATACATAATGATTAAACTGAGATAGATAGATAGATAGATAGATAGATAGATAGATAGACAAATAAATACATAATGATTAAACTGAGATAGATAGATAGATAGATAGATAGATAGATAGATAGATAATGATTAAAAATAGATAGATAGATAATGATTAACAATAGATAGATAGATAGATAGATAGATAGATAGATAGATAGATAATAATTATAAAAAAGATAGATAATGATTAACAATAGATACATAGATAGATAGCTAGATAGATAAATACATAATGATTAAACTGAGATAGATAGATAGATAGATAGATAATGATTAAACTGAGATAGATAGATAGATAGATAGATAGATAGATAGATAGATAGATAGATAGTGATTATAAAGATATAGATAATAATTAAAAATAGATAGATAGATAATGATTAACAATAGCTAGATAGATAGATAGATAGACAGACAGACAGATAGATAATGATTAAACTGGAATAGATAGATAGATAGATAGATAGATAGATAGATAGATAGATAATGATTAAAAAGAGATAGATAGATAGATAGATAGATAGATAGATAGATAGATAGATAGATAGATAGATAATGATTAAAAAGAGATAGATAGTTTTTAAATGAAAATAATATTATTAAAATACTCCCTGCACACCATATATTTTGTGTTTTTTTTTCCGTTCCTATTTAAAAAGAAATACGTAGAGTTTCCACTTGATTATGACTAAACGGAATTTCCTGACGACTTTTTATCACCGCCATACATGGAGCTTTTTTTTTCTTTCGAAACATATATCATAAGCAGGCCAACAAAACAACCAACCAGGATAAAATATTAAGTGGTCAATCAGTTTAAAACCATTTCCACAAGAGATTGAGTAATTTTCCGCAACCTCCTCTTGCATTATTGCGGCCAGACATTCAAGACGAAAAGAAATGAAATTGTGACTGAGCAAAAGGTTACTTGCTGGAATGTCGAACCGTTCCTATAAGTACTTGAAACTGATTCAGTTTACTCTTATTATCTTTTAACTTAATCGGAAAATCTCCATGAAGGCGGGTAGTAAGAGGAAGTGACTGAGCGATAAGCAACAATTCCCACAAACCGCTTATATATGACTAAAATAGGTGATTGGTTGATTGTTGCCATGGCCGAAGTTGATAGTTATTTTTAGAACATTTGGTGAATTTTAATTGGTTAATTAAAACACTGCATGTTGCTATTTGGGTCTGGCAATAATGATAATCGGAATAAAAATGACCATATTGAATAAGACAATAATAAATATAATTAACGCCGGGTATCACAGAAACGCACCTTTTTAAGAAACATTTTTTTTCCATTTATTTTTTGTCGATTATCATCTCTAAATCACAAATATCAAACATATATATTTCTTTTAATGTTCTAAATTTTAAGAGGCGGAGTTCAGATTCAGTTTACGTAAATTTATTTGAAACTGATATTCAAACATAAACAAAGATAAATACGGGAAAATAATAATAATAATAATCTTAGAAGAGATGGGATGTCGGAAAGGTTCTTATGGTAGCAAAGATCAACTATTGATAAACAAAATGATAGTGGAAAATTGAAGGAAAAGAGGTAGACATCTCAGCACAGCATGTATAGATTACGGTAAAACTTTTGATAATGTACCACACTCTTGGATCCTTAAGGCTATCGCAATGTACAAAGTCTCCGAGGTGATAGTAAATTTCCTTAAACAGAGTATGGGAATACAGAAAACTAAATCAAACCAAAGGCACTGCCACTTCCAATAACCTGAATATCCGACGAGGAATCTTTTAAGGAGACTCCCTGCCACTCCTTCTGTTTTGTCCGGCCTTAATCCCCCTTTCACACGAAGCAAACAATAATAGCTAAGGATACAAAGTAAGCAAGAAAGTATTTAATCACCGACTCTAGATGGATGATCGCAAACTCTTTGCCAAAGACGACAATGAGTTGAAGAGTCTCTCCGATACTATAAAAAATTTTTCAGTAACAACATAGGTATGGATTTCAGATTAGATAAATGTGAAAAAGTAACATTCAAGAAAGGGAGAATTACCGAAACACACTCAATAGATCTAGATTTCGTCACAAAGATTGTGGAAGAAGCCTATAGGTACCTAGGAATTAGCGAAGGGGGTGGAACACAGCATACACAAATGAAGGACAATGTAAAAAAAAAAAAAGAATACTACAGGATTGTACGTTTGGTGTTGAATTCACAAAAGAGAATATCAGCCGTAAACACTTTGGCTGTCCTTGTTCAATACAGTTTCAACATCCTTAATTGGGCAATAGCAGATATTAAGCGAATGGATTTCAAAATGAAAAAGCTTCTCCTTTGCCACCGCATGCATCATCCTAAGGCTGATGTTGATCATCATGTGCCCAGATCCGGAGGAGGCAGAGGATTAGTTCAACTAGAACTGTCTTACAAAAGCAAAGCAATCGGTCTTCAAAGATAGCTGGAAACTACAGAATTCTGGATGATGATCTATACGAAAACAAAAACATGAAAAAATCTGTATTCATTAATAAGGGAAGCCAACAAATTTAATAGGGAATTTCAAGTGGGTGAAGAAATGCAAATAAACCATAATACACTTACTGCAGCTGCAAAATACTTTAAAAAAAGAAAGCAAAGACAGATACAGAAACGATGACAAGATAAACAATTCACGGTCAATATACTGCCCGTACTAAACAAGCTGCCCATCAGTGGTTACATAGTGCAGGGTTAAAAGCTGAACCCGATCGTTTTATTCTTGCTGCACAGGACCAATGCTTGCTAACTAGAAATTACCAACGACGCAAACTGAAAAATTACGTTGACCCACCCCCACAAACGCAGATACTGTAATAAACATCCAAAAACAATTGACCTTCTTGTATCAGGTTGCACAATGTTAACACCCACTGAATATAAAACTAGGAATGATAGAGTAGGACAATATATGAACTGGAAAAAAATAATTTTACAGGAAAGAAACCGCGGGAAACTGATTTGAACATCACCCAGACCCGGTTACAGAGATAGGACCTGTACTAATTGTATAGGATTTTACAATACACACAGACAGAACAATCACAACTAATCGCACTTCGAGACCAAATACCACATGAACAGAATGTGCCTTCTTATTGACATGGATCCATTCAGTAATGTATCTTTGAAGATCTTTTTAAAAAAAACTATCAAAGTACGAGCATCTTGAAGTGGAAATCTCAAAAATGTGGTACATGAAGACGTCAATAATCCAGTTGTAGTTGGAGCCCTCGGATTGATTGTACAAGGTTCCGATGAAGTTACTGAAGGCATTCCTGTTAGCCAAAGATATAGAAAACATTGTACCCACAAGTACAGCTCACACATTACGAAGAGCTATAGCTATGTAAAATGTGTGTGGAATTATTGTACTTTTTTTTTTTACTTTGTTTAGAAAAATGAACAGAAGAAAATGTCATGATGCCATTTCTGACCTTATGTTCCTGGTTGAGACCTGGTTGAGACCTGGAAGGAATTGTGTATACAACAGCAGTCAAAGGTGGTAATAATAATAATAATAATAATAATTGTTGTAACATAGGGAAGGTTACTGAATCGAATACTCACACGAAGGTTGTTAATGAACGATAATACTTTGGACAAGAACAACACATATAAGATTCGCCAGCGGCGTGTAGAAGTAGTAGTCAACTGCTAGAAGTGAGTCAAGTGAATTCCACAATGAATCTACAACTGCAAGATATCTAACAACCGCCACACGCAGTCAGATGTGGCACAAGGCCGAATTTAATGTGGGATAAAGATTACTCGTTGACCTCGCTCAGTTCTCTCTGCATTTTGTTGAAGTTTCTTCTAGACTTGATGAATTCCTTATTTATAAATTAAAAAAAAACATATATATATATATAACACATTTGCACCAAAATTTACATGCACATGCTCCAAGTTAGCGGGAAGGCCAAGATCGATTTTGCATTTCCCAACTCCCATCGATAGTGGAAATAATCGATTTTTTCATGCTTCTACGGAAGTTTTCATGTAGTTTGCGGCCATTTTCTACTGGCCAGAGTGAGAGTCTATAGTTGGCTGCCACGAATAGGCAGGAAGATTCTATTGGCCAGCGTGAGAGCCAATAGCTGACTGACACGAATGTTGACTAGCATGCTAGCATGCAAAAAAAATCAATAGCTGCATTCGTCACAAGTGGAAAAAATTTAAATCTACATGGCACTTTACTTCAATTGGCTCATTCGCTTGCTTAAACTCAACGTTGATTCTGATTCAGCAGAACTGGGTTGGGTGTGAAAAAGTATTTGTAGTTAACATTCTTTTTTCATTCGGTTTTTCCAGTTACGAGTCCTTTTTTAAAGCTGATCGTTTTGTGTTCATTTTGTTTAGTTCTTTTTTCGTAACAAATTTATTGTTTAGTATAGAGCTTAGAAAAAATTCGCAGTGTGAGATAGGCAAGAAGTAAGGCATATAGCAACATCAGCACGGCAAACGGCACTCCTTTAAAGGCAAGGAAGAGCAAAAATATTTTAAGTCAAGTGATAGCGATTGCTGTATGAGTCGTACGGTTTTTGAATCAAGCACGGACAACGTCCGGCTAGGCTGCTAGTATATATTATTCGTAATAAAAGTATATTCTTAACTTTCGTTCTAAAATATAATCTCATAGATATT